AAGATTAGTTTACTTGTAAAAACAGAGAGTACTGCTCAGCCAATATTTTGCGCTCTGAGAAAAAGACCCTTATGATGTCATCAGGGTAATCTCAAATTGGGCTCATTTCAAATAAAAAAATGACATGGTGTTCGTTACTGTAGAGACCAGCTTCTTATCTTAATATTTTCCTCCTCATCATTTGACCTTCCATGTTATTGCTCTGGGTTGCCCGTCGTCAGTCAGGACTCTTCTGCTTTCTGTGCATTCACATACAAGCTTACGTCACAAGCTGAACAGAGGCAAACATTATAGGTTTTCCCTCAACAATTCTACTTTCATCTCTGGCCGCAGAGGTACATTTACACAGTAGGTTCCATCTGTCACTTCTATTTCTAAACCAGGCATTGCATGCATCGCCCAGACTGGACCTCATGGTTGTGTATGCCAAGAGTCATGGCAAAAGTACACCTGATTTACCTCGGTTTCCACTGATTCACCGTGATAATTTGATTCCACAACAGTCGTCTACTTCTGCCCCTTTTGCTCAGGACTGCAGGAAAAAGAGCAACCGAGGCAGACAGACAGGGAAGGCAAAGAAGGGAGACGGATAACACTGTTTAGATGTGGGGAAGTAAAGTGGACCAGAGAGAGGGAACAGAGCTAAAAACTCAACTCACCACTGACACCAGCCCCACCCCCCCCAACATGGCAACCCTCCAGGCTAATCTCGTTAAAATCTTTCTTTGCCTGATGCCATCCAGAGAGAGAAACGGGAGATGTAGAAAAGGATGGACAAGAGAAAGGGTTGGGGAAGGAAACGAGCAAAAGGAGGGAGAGGCAACCAGTGAGAGTATTCAAGATGGGGTCTCATGAAAGTAAGAGGAGAGAGGGGGGGAGGGAGGCTTAGGGAAGGGGTGGGAGAGGAATTAAGGGGACTCTTAGTTCAAAAGGGCTCCCAAGTGCCGGCTCTTAAGCCCACGGCGTGATGCTAACTGCAGAAACCAGTGGAGGGCGGGGAGGGTCGAGACGCGGTGTCAAAGCTAGAAGTAAAAGATGTCTGTGAGGAAGAGAACCAAAGAGCAACTGGTTCTGAAGGGGCTTTGTTCCAAAGAGGTAGGAGCTCCTGCGTGCCCACGTAATGCACACAGCAGGACTAGTTGTAGTTTCCTGTTAGTCTTCAACTCGGAGTTCTTAAATCTTTGTCTCAGCTTGTTGTCCACAGCTCATTAGAGCCAGCGGTGTTTAAGTCTCACTTTTGTTTTGTTTTTTTTGCATCTTTGTTATTTGATCCATGTCATTTTGTGAGCAGTTACTAGAAGAAGTGTGTGTGTGTGTGTGTGTGTGTGTGTGGTTCTGTGTTTTTGTGTGTGTGTGTCCACACTGTACACTGCCTTGGCTCTAATGAGGAGCTAATTAACCGGGTGTTCCCCCCCCCCCCCCCCCCCGGCGCCCTGAGCAGGTGGCTGGAGCAGCCAGGCGGAACTCAGCCCAAACACACAGACTCACAGTGAACACACACACACACACACACATGATGGAAGGAGCCCGTATAGCAGAGCCTGTTTGGCCAGGCGGAGAGGGCACCCAAGGGGGGCTGCAGCAGGTCTGGACAGCAGCCTGGGCCAAGAGGGGAGAGGTGGTGGTGGGCGAGCGGCCCCTTCGATTTTCAAGAACCAATTTTAGCCATGGGATCTGGGTTTTGCACAGGCATCCAAAATCAATTGGCTGTGCATACTGGCTTGGCTTTGGAGCTGAAGGAAAAATGAGGTTAGATTTATCCCTGACATATGGAGGAGAGCCGAGAGGTGGTGCACTCCACAAACACACTTGCATTTTATTTGTTGAGTGCAGTCTTTACGGGCCAATTTGTCATAGCCGACATGACAGACCAGTCCGTGAGCTTGTTAAGAGCATGTTTACTTGTTAAGGAACCTGTTCTGCAAGCTGAGATAGAACAGTGGTGTGTTCTTCTGTCAGTCTACCTTACCTGTAATATTCCCTAATTTTACCTGTACTTAAAGAAGTAAGCAGAAGTAAGATCACAAACTGAGATGTGTGCAAACTGTGTAAAGGAAGACATCGGATAAAAACAAGACATTTACTCCAGCAGTTATTCCTCCAACGTTTGCATTTGCCGCTGTTCATTTTGATGACAAAGTGGTGCAACTGTTCTCTACTCTAATATTTTCCGAGGGGTTTCTTGCCATCCCCTCATTTATTTTTGCTGCAGCATCCGTCTGTTTGCCAAGCCCGTTGCTTGTGTTTTTGTTTGATTTCCACGACAACGCGACGATCCAGATTCACGCATCCTCAAATTGGACACTGACCCATAAAGGAGCCGCGCTTACTGGACGACTCTCCACCACCCACAGAACACTGAAGTGTCAGATTTTTTTTTTCTCCAACAGATAAGAATTAGTGAGTTTTCTTTCTTTCTTGCAGCGCACTAGTGAGGCCTTGATGCGTTAATGAATTGAAAAATGGCCTTCAACAGTGTTTAGTTATCCCTGCTGAGCCTAATTTGGGTGAGGGGGGGTGCTGCGGTGGTGGGGGTATCAGATGGGGGGGGGGGGGGGTGTCGGCGTGTGTGTGTGTGTGTGTGTTCACAAGCACTTCAAAACAAACCCATAAACATTCCAGGATCCTTGGGCAGCTGCAGCTCCGAGCTGAAGTTAACTGCACACAGTATGTACAACATAGAAAACACACGGAAGCTACTCGAGTGCTTTTTGCTTATTTATTTTTCTCAGTCAAGCTTAGATCACATTTTCATTCATGTTTTTTTTCAGTTTTTTTTCCTTGTCAAAGAAATACCAAACTACTATTTCTGTCACTAATTCTTCCTGCCTGTCACAGAAAGTCTGGCTGTTGTTAAAGCCATCACTGCTACACATGTTAAATGATTTAAAGCTTTGATTCTGGAGCTTTCTCTACATTCTCCACACTTGAACATATCCTCCCTGCTTCAGACTTTGTTGGCCGATCTTGTTGCAAAGCGGCGAATCGAAAAGATGCCATAAGAGGTACCGTCGGCACTTCAGCCGGGGGGAAAATGTGATCCATCGCTTTCATGTTCTGCTGCGAGGTGTTAATGGACCCAAGTGCTCACAGCTGTGTGTGTGTTTGAGACGCTTGATCATAATCACAGTCCCCCCACCTCGTTCTTGCCCCGGCCGCTCACCGGAGCCGGTGTGTTCTTTGTCACATTCCCTTCAGAAGAAGTCGGGCAGGCTCTTAAGTTGTTCACATGCTAACACACTAGATACACAACACACAACACACAACACACACACACATGCACATAGATTCTCATCAGTTTGATGTGTTTTTTTTAGTTAACACATGGACTACTTAAGATAAGAAGCTTTGTGAAATATGTAAGCATCCTTCGGTATCCTACACATCTATAGTTTTCTCCAGGGTCAAAGGTCAATCCTCCTCTTGAGTTTACCAGTTCACGAGAGCACACCAAAACATCCAGCGGTGTCTTCACACAAACGGCGCAGCCTCGATATAGATCCATACATGAAACGGTGTTTCATTAACTGCAGAATTCCATACAAATTGGGCCGAGTAATAACCAGATGGAATTGGGAAACGGTCTGGGAATGTGCTCCCCCCTTTTTTTTTTTTTCCAGGGTCTGAAACCAGGGAAAACTGGACCTCTCCCAACCTGGTGCCCCTTCAGTGTGGATGGAGGTTACATAGCGTTCACTGCTCGCATATTACTTGACATATAAGTCATTCTCCTCCTGCGAGAGAGCCATGAGTCATTAACAGTCATTTTCAATCAACTGCAAGGAGCTCATCTAACGTTCTACAGATCATTGAGCTCAGTGTAACTGCAGAACTGACCTTGACTGCAGCAGGATGTGTCGGCTGGTGACGACGAGGAAAGAGAATTATTTTTGCTGCCTTTTCTCATGAAAGATCTTCTATTTCTCTAACGGCCACAGTATTGTACACAAAGTCAACTTGCATAAAAGCCTCCCAGTCCCTCAGCCAGTCTGTCTTTACTTATTCCCCATTATTGTGTCTTATTCTCTTCTAAACATCCATTGTTGTAGCATTTTTCTCAATAACACTCCCACCAGAATAATTAATATCACCTTCTGTTGTGAAGCCCTAATAATCCTTTTTTTTTGCCATTCTTTGAAAAGCAGCTTTGCTGTTGTTTACCCCTTCCTAATTTATCTGCGGATAACTTTAAGATCTGCAGCAGGCGTCTTTGAAGCCACGGCCAAGACTTCAGGTCCCAGGTCTGACTCTGATTTAACCAGCAGAGGGTCTGGATCAAACTTTGTTACACAAACAAGAAGGGCAGGTTTCTCATTAGGCCTCTCAAATGCAAACCCAGAATCTAGAGAGTGAACAGAGTTCATGAATAATGTCAGAGCTGGTGAATGTGGTCTAACGGGGAGGAATCAATGAAAAAACTTGTGAGGCGAAGAGACTTACAGAAACCGGCTGGATTTCAAGTGGAACTGGGAGGGACTGCGAAGAGATATAACCTCACTTCCCATGTCATATATTGCGGCTCGCCTCATTTAGAAGACAGCCAGCTCGAGTCCATTCCTCATCTGAATCGCTCTCGCTTTTAATAGATCTTATAGGAGTCTTTGCTCATCAGTGATTCATGGAATTAATGTCTCTCGATCCAGTGATTAATTTACTAACGGGCTGAGAGAAGCAGAATTCATTAATTATGAAATGGAGAAAATGAGCTCTGCAAATATCACTTTTGATTGATGAGTTCTGGAATAGCAGCCAAGCACAGAGGTTATAGTGTAGGTTATACACCACTCTCTATGATACTGCCTCACTGGAAAATCTCTGCCAGCTCTCTTGTGATATACTGTATAGTAAGCATACGTTTTACTGCAATGCACACTTTCATGTGAACGTTTCATCTACGCTGACTCACATTTAGACTCTATAAACATGAATACTGTGAAGATACTTTTACATTTACTCACCTTCGATCCCACCACTTGACAACTTTCCTCTTCCCTCTGCAGCGTGCAACTGCAACCTCCACGCCCGTCGCTGTCGATTCAACATGGAGTTGTATAAGCTGTCGGGGAGGAAGAGCGGAGGGGTCTGCATGAACTGCCGCCACAACACCGCAGGCCGCCACTGCCACTACTGCAAGGAGGGCTTTTACAGAGACCTGGCCAGACCCATCACCCACCGCCGAGCCTGCAAAGGTAAAAGTCCATTAGTTAATGCAATGAGTTAATTTTTTATTACTTTGATTAATTGTTATTTTCCAAGGTGGTAATCATGATATTTTCTATGGTGCTGTTTGCTGTACTGTTTTTAAAATCATACGTACACGGTGGTGATCACTGCTCATGCAGCACTAAATACCCAGTTCTTCTTCTGCTGTCAGAATTTAAAAAAACGTATGTATTTTAGCTGGGAATGAATTACCAACCACTCTATGTTTACAACAACTAATGGAAACATTTTTTGTGAACAAGGATCACTTTTTTTGTCGCTTCAATCAGTAAGAGATTAGCAAAAATGTATATTTATTCATATGGAAATGTCACGGGTTATTACTTTAAGCTCCGTTTGACTTTTCATTTGGCAATGTGCTGCGCTAAAAGTTTACAAAATGTTCAAACAAAAGCTGATTGAGACATTCTAACCCTGCTTGTACTCATGTAAATATGTCTGAAAAAACTTTAAAAAGTTATGATTGGAAACATACAGGGTCATGGTAAATTTTAATAGAAAAATATCAGCATGTCTAACTTGCCATACCATAGCAGAGAGAAATGAATTGATACTGTGCCCGAAGCTTTTCTGGCTGTCGCACCGAATGTTTCCCTATACCACACACCACGTAATATTATCTCTTGACCAAGGCATTTCTCCTGGAAAAATGTTTTTACCCGTTCATTAATTCCCATTTTGCAGAGAATATCTTTCAGCCTAATAATATGCTGGAAGCATTTCTCTCCTCCCACTGGACCCATTGCAAAAATAGCACCAGTTTCCACTACTTGTTGCTCAGGAAAGTATTCAAATCAATAGCAGAGAGAAAGTGTTTTTTTATCCTGTTGATCCTGATGAAGGTAAAGAATTACTTCCAGAAAATGAGAAACAGCATTAGCGAGAGCAGCCAACGCTCATAGATCTTTCGGTTGAAAGTCTCCCACTGGCTTCCGCTCAGTTTTCCTTCTGTAGCCGACCCAAGCTGCTGCAACCGAAAACCACGAGGTTAGAAATGGCACGATATCAGGCCGCACTTGCCCGTGTTAGTTGCGCTGAGATGTCGTGCCATTCGTCATGTAATGGCAAAAACTCCACAGTTACTTAAATCGCATGCCTTAAAGCTGAAGTCATTTGACCTGTCGCTGCACCAAAGCACTGCCAGAAATGCCTCAATCCTGACAGGAGATCAGCCCTGAGATGTGCCCCCCCCCCCCCCGTGCTAATTGTTCCCTCTTCCTTCATTTCCTGCAATACCTAGGAGTGTGACGCTCTCACACGTACGCAAGCCCCCCCTGACACTGCAATTTGTCCTTATCAAAGCCTTATGATCGGGTGGTAAACAGCTTATCTCCCCTGCCCCCCCGAAAAAAGGCCCCAGATGCGACGGAAATGAAAGTTAACGTCTGAAAAGCCTCTGCTGAGCGTCTGGCTCCATGATTGAGCAGAGCAATTCCGCAGCCTTCTAGGAGCTGTCATTTTCCTCTACCTTGGCCCCTTGTTCTGTTCTTTCATAGCCCATGATTGTGTATAACCATCATCTCCTCTTCCTCCCCAACTTGTGATTTCTTTCACCATGACTCACTACAAGCCTGTAAAACCATTGTCTTTTTCCTTGGTTTAATTTTTCAGCTCAGATTTGTTTGCTCTCCCTCATGTTTTATTCCCATGTGTCAGGGTCAGAGTTGCGGTATGGCTGAAGGGGGTCACGTCTGAAATGGATTTACAACAATAAAACACAGGTGTTTTCTAAAGTCGAGACAGGAGTTGGGAGGGCTCTGAGAGGACACACAGGCCGTGTCTGTTTCTAATGATACCTGCTTTGTAGATGAGTGTCCATACACAATGTGCGGAGAATATGAGGTTGGGGTAACCACCCCTCTCCTGCCTTCATCACCACCACTTCTTACCTCCCACGCACACAAAACTGTAGGACTCCTGCTCTCTCTAGTTCAAATGCCCAGGCACCAGCCTCTCCACGAGCCCTTTACTGTGTCACAAGCATTACAACAGCCAGCACAGTGAAAGAAACATGGCAATCACCCCATGGCCTGGCTGCAGTATATGAGCTCTTCACAAGGTTTTTATGTGAATCCAAGCCATGCAGCTGGTATCCGTTGACCACAAGGAACATTGATAAAATGCATTAAAACTGAGGCCTCGTGAAGAAACGCCGGCCAACATAAACCACATTGACCGTACGGCTCAAATATCTTTCTGAAGCAGGGCATGAGGATCTGTGGACAGGAAATGTGTTATGCAACCTAATTCTGAGGGTAATGTTAGGTTAGTAATGTATAGGACCTGGCTGAATAACACCAATTCTCTAAGATTAGTATCAAGGTTAGCCAGTACATGTGACCACAAGATCTTAATCTCAGGTGTCACTGAGAGGGAGGAGCTGTTCAATTGATCTTCTGTTTATCAATCCTTCAACATAGCGTTATTATTTCAAACGCTATCTATTCACGATTTATTTGTGCCTTTAGAATTACTTAATTCAATCTCTTGATTTAATGCTACGTGAACTCATGGGATGGTTTATAAATAGCACGGCACTTTTAAGGACATTTCATCATGTCATGTCAAACATTTTAAGCTTTTCAGGTGTCATTTAACAGACTTTTCATTCCCAACTTGACGCACGGTTGCAGTTTCAAACACATTGTTAAAATTCTGAATTCAAACAAAACTACTTGGTTAGGTTGAGGAAAAGATCGTGATAGGGTTGAAATAAGGATGTTTGTTACGTAAATTTAGTACAATGTAAATAAATCAACGGTGGCGGTGTCCTGGGTGAAAGTCCTGTGTTTGTTTCATCCAACCTCCTCCCTACCCGGACTTTCTATTGCCGCGGCATGAAATGACACCCAAAAATCAAAAAATGAAAAGCAATAACACACTTAATGACTTAAGAAAGTGGCATGTTATCAAGTTGTCATTTTGTGAGACCAGGCTTTTTAATAACTAAGAAATGCACATATTTTAATAAGACCTTTATTTTCACAATGTCAATAACTGCAGACAAAAAGCAGGCCTCACAAGTACTTCAGCCCATATGCATGCACACATGCACTGAGCAGCACGAATCCGTTAAACTGAGCCTGTCAAAGGACTACAAATCCCAACGCAGTGCCTGTCACGTCTGCAGTCACAAAGGCTTGAAAAGTCATCAACCTCTGAGGACGTTTTTACTGCTTCTTAACTGGCCCGAGCCCCTGCACATAAAACTTCAGAAAAGCAGTTCAAGGAGGAGAGCTGGGGGTGGAGATTGACACCACCACCCCCATACCCAGCCCGTTCAGATCTGGCAGTTGCTGTTTTTTTGTTTTTTTTACCGAACAATGTGGACTCTGACAGTAAAGTCAAATGTCTTAACAGCCTATGATTGTTTATAAGGGAAGTGAGAATGTTACTCACATCTTGTTCATACTGACGGGACTGAGTCGGTATAGCTCGTGCTGTTCAGTGATCAGCCGGGAAACAATGGCCACATGTCTCTGCAGGCATGACAGACCAACTCCAGACTTGTATCAGACAGATCAAATAACGGGGGGTTTATCCCACATGTGCTTTGGACAAATCATTTCACAGGAACAAAAGGGGGGGGGCACAAACTCCAGGAATGACAAGGGTTTCTCAAATAATCCTATAGTTCCTGGTAACAGTGGCAGGAGTGCTGACTGATGAGGGTGGGTATGGGGGGTGAGGATTTAGGTTACGTGGTTGGTACAGAGCATCAGACACGCAGTGGGGAGACCCTTGTTGACTTGACCTCTGACATCCTGCCATATGCAGATGTGTATTCCCTTTAGGTCAGTCAGGAACACTTGCCAACTGTCATCAAAGCTTGAGTTTCCATGTTGGGCCTACGTGTCTCAAACGGTGGGGATTTTGCACGGACACTGGAGCATTAGATTTACGTCTCTGTGCACAGCTTCAAACGGAGCGCAGCCACTTTGACACCTGTGGACCGGTTGGCCTTTGCCGGGGAAAAAAAGGCAAACGTGTTTCTGAAGATCTGAGCTGCAGTTAATCCCTCTCCGCCCCGCAACCAGACACAGATGATCACTCTTGGGTCAGTTTCTGCCTTTCAAACCCTCCCTTTGCCCAGTCAACAGGTGGTAGGGTCCTCAGGCTCTCCTCTCTTGTAGCAGCTAAAATATGTCCAGCGCAAATAAACACATTCACAGTTCCGTCAAGTGGTGGGAAGAAACCGTGGCATGTTAGCAGCTGCCTTCTCTGGCAAACCCTGTAAAACACTGTTGGGTTACCGGGGTTTTTCCCTAAAGTGTAATTCTTGTCTTTTCTTGATAAGCCTGGACAATTACAGCTATCTTGTTACAGTCGAGTCACTCTATTTGCTTAAGTCATTTTGCACTAGCCTGCGCCTGTTTTTCAAAGAAGTGCATCGAAAATAAGGAAAAGGAACAGAACGTTCACCTCGCAGTTTCATGGTTTGTGGTATTTTTGGCAGCATGTCAGTAGATGAGACAGGAAATTAAACTTTTTCTGCACTCAGAATTGTTTTGTTCTGGACAGAGAATGTCCAATTTGACGCGAAACCAATCATTCACAACCCGGAGGACTGCTCAAGAAGATGTAAAAGTCTTACATTTGTTTTGATATGCCACTGATGTGTTTGTCTGGCTGGATTGCTGTGAAATGTTAAGTATGTGTTTATTACTCAAAGAACAAATGTGTGTTTATTTAGTAGCCACAGTTTGGTTAGATTCACTGTTGTTTATGCTGTTGAGCCGGAGGCTGTGTTTGGACTACACTGACGCACTGTGCCTCTCACTCACTACCCGTTTCCCTCAAATCCTCCACTTCACTTCTCACTCTCTGATATCTTGCCCTCTCCCTGTCATCCTCTTTAACGTCTTGTAAAGCTCTCTCAGAAGGCTTTGGACTGACACGCCAGCTCTTGTATTAAACAGCTCTTTAAACCAAAAAGAAAAAAAGAAAAAAGCCTCGCGTTGTTTAAGGGGGCTTGAATAAATTGCCTAGAACCAGCAAAAGTCGTAAAGCCTTGCCAAAGCGAGGTGACCGGAGCATTGCTTATTGCTGTTGGCATTTGTTGGTGGGAATCAACTGAACTTTTGGGAAGTGATGATGAAACAGCAGAGCGTGTGTCACCAGACAGGCACCGAGCAGAGCCGAGAGAGAAGGACACAGTGTGCCTTTCTGGGTCTCCCGACAGTCTTGCACCAAATGCATTACCCCATCCCCTACTTGTCACCTGGCGCCTTCACATTATTTCTCTCATTCACACAAGTTATTTCTCTCGTTCACACAAACATACAGTGTTTCTCCTTGCGGTGTTCGGGGAATCCGAAGCACAGAAGCCGAACAGGAAAGGGCCACCTCACACCCCCGAAGTCTTTAGCCAGACATTCAGACCTAATGCATATCTGTTCATATTACAAGATGTAATCCAGTACCCTGCGGAGACTCATTATATCTGAGGAATCAGCCAGTGTCTTATGTGTGTGTGTGCCATTTTGGCAAACATGTTAAATGAATCAACATTTAATAAACTTTCTCCCTCCCTTCTTTCTGATATCACAACCCTCCCTGCACCCCCCTTCACACCTGTCCCCCACCCCCAGCCTGTGACTGCCACCCTGTGGGCGCAGCAGGCAAGACGTGCAACCAGACCACAGGCCAGTGCCCCTGCAAGGACGGCGTCACCGGCATCACCTGCAACCGCTGCGCCAAGGGCTACCAGCAGAGCCGCTCCCCCGTGGCCCCCTGCATCAGTGAGTGACTCAACTGCACACACATCTAGCAGTCACTGCATGACACTGTCTTCAGCTTGGTAATTTAATCATCTTGGCAGTGATTCACTGCACAAAATTGTTAAACAATGACAAGGCTTAATACATACAATAAAGAAGTGAACTACACTAAAAGCAGCACATACTCAAACCAGTGAGATTACAGAGTATAATTGAAAGCACACTTCCCTATAGCCTAAAGTCATTCTGGCCCTCTGACAGGCACACCCAACCCAGACTCTGCACTGCATATATACAGGACATGTGTTCTCTGGGTTTGCATTGCCACCGAAAATGCAATGATCATTTTTTATAGAGAACAGCCCAAAACATGTGTGCAAACAAGTGCCCAGATGTAAAGTCAGGCAAAACTCAAACGTGATCTTTTTACGAGAGCTGGTGTGAGAACTCAAGAAATGTTTTTTGTTGTTCCACTTGCTGTCAATGATGTATAGTGTGTGTGTGTGTGTGTGTGTGTGTGTGTGTGTGTGTGTGTGTGTGTGTGTAATCTAGTTGCAGTAGTTTGCATGTCGACTACATCAGGTTTTTAATTTCCTGTGACAAACGTGTGCCTGTGGGTTATGAAATTTGCCAGCGGTCCCGGTACATGCAGGCGTGCGTAATAGAGGGCAACTTTCCACCGCACTGTGTGCCAAGGCAGTACGATCGCACATTGCACACACTCACGAGACAACCTCCACCAAAGCAAACCGTGCCGCCCAGTGCCGTACCCGAGCCCCGCCACACTGTGCCACATGGTGCCGTGTTGTTTTCCCTCACATGCAGCTCCAGTAGCAGATGGCGGATGGGCGAGAAGGAGAAAACAACTGTGGTCATGGATGGCAGACCCCATTTATTTGAGTGGCACTGAACCATCCCAGTGAGAACAAGTAGAATTGCGTATGTGCATTTAAGTACATGCGCTCATTTGGATCCCATTACGAATAGCATTAATGCCAACTGTGTGTGTCAATATGGCCTCATGGTGGGCATCGTACCTCCTATTGAGGCTCCTGGATCCTGAGACAGAACTAAGCCCATTAAGCAGCCAATTAGTATGATGGCAGCAACCCTCATCTGAATGATCCTTTCATCATCTGTCTGTCTTCACAAGATGTGGCCATGAGGGCACACAGGCTCAAAGTGGCTTCTAGCAGCTGCGCCTGCCTCCGCAAAGCCCAGTGCCCTTGTTTGTTTTTGTTGGCGGGGTGTCCATAATTTCAGAGACAACTGCAGCCTCCTCCCCTCCCCCGTTCCCTGCCGCCAACACACTCCCACTCGCTTGGTTCAAACCCTCAACCTCCAAATCCAATCAAAAGCAGATCCTCCGGGTGGATTCTAAGCCTGCGTCCCAGTAACTCTGTTTACGGTAAAAGCAGAGGGCCCGTTGTTAGCATTAGCATTTGTATTGGAAAGTTGAATACGGTTAGAAGAGAAGTCCTGGAGGAATTCCATGAGGCACTTTTTAGAGTAGCCAGCGGGCACAGCGAGGGTGGGCTGCATCTGTCTCAAGACGATCCAACCAAGATTGCCCCCTTGCCATCTGTCCATCTGTCTGTACATGCTTGCATGGGGATTACACAGCAGCGTTAACCCAGCATCTGTTATGGGAGGACGAGGACTAATCTAGTGCAGCCACCTTTCCATTTTAATCAGTGTGCCTCAGATGTATCAAGTGTGCCGACTGTGAATGGATTGACTTCTCCAAACTGGATTACTGGGTGCAGTTGTGGTGCGTCTGCTGAGTTTGGCTCAGACTTGGTACTCTGACCTCCATTTTTTTCAAACGTCTCAGGATCTTTCAATGTATTCCTTAAACATGACAGTGAAACCACCACATTAGTCCGTGGACTGCACGGTTTATTTGAGCCCGTCTTCCCTCACACCACCAATAACTTACAAGTATCTCTCTCAGTGTTCATCTAGCATGTCTGTCTGCAATGTCTTGTGTGTTTTTATGTGTGTACTTGACAAATGTCACAAGCCTGCAGTAAGACAAACCGTGTTCTACTTCTCAATACTAAGCTTACCCTCTTCATTTTGTTGTGGGTTTATCTATTTATTCACAAAACTTCCCATACCAACCCTTTTACTAATGAATTCAGACATACTTTGTTTCTTTGACCACACATGCACTCTCAGCGGGCATACGGCCAAATCATTTGACCGTAACTAATATATGGATTTACATTTAACCAGCAAAATAAGTTTGTATTTCTTGTGCGTTTCAGAAATCCCAGTGGTCAACCCCACAGCTGCGGTGAGCAGCACAGAGGAACCAGCAGGTTAGTATTCGCCCTCGCCCATAAGCACCACTGCTTTATGGGAGGAACAAAAACATGTTTTTTAATATTCCTGGACTTGAGTTTTAACGTGTGGAATAAATATTAATGAAGGGTGGGTCCGCTCTTTTGAAGTTCGGCAAATAAAAGGAGTGCACTGGGACCTGCAGAATTTTTCCATTGTCTTAAAAAAAACCTGTGTCCTTGGCACGGTTTTCCCCCCAACCGCTAACCTTAAGTTGGTGGAGCCTCACTGTGCTCAAAGTATAGCTGCAGCTGAGAGCCAAGGCCAGCAGATAGGCAGCAGAAGTGATTAGTTAAAGTTTTAGCCGGGAGATTTAGTGGAAGGGAGAGTTTTGAGGCGTGAAAAGAGTTGTTGGCAAGTGGCTGGGGGGAAATTTGTTCAGTCTCTCCCTCTAACTGTCCAATTTACGCTCCGGTCAATTACCCTCCCTTTATTTTTCATTCTGCGGCTGTTTGATTTGAATGGTGGTGTTGATTTGGAAACGTTGATTCATTGGTGGGTTTATAACATATATCATCACTCAGGCGGCAGATCACGCCCCCCACGTTGCCACAGATACTTTACTGAGCTAGTCAAAGCATATCGTTGTATTGTTCAAAAACAGTTTGAGGGCTAATGATGTCTTTAATGGCTGATGCTGACTTCATTTCACAGGAAAATATTCAAGCTGAAGGCAGTCAATGAACATTGCATACAGTTACTATACCTATTAAATCAAATGTTATAGATTAAATGGTTTTTATTAAAGGAAAGGTTTGACTTTTGGGAATTAACTTATTTGCTTTCTTGCCAAAAGTTAAATGAGAAGGTCTATACCACTCATGTTTATGCGGAGGATGTTGTAAATTAGGTTAGTTAAGCACAAAGACTGGAAGCCGATATAATCCAAAAGATTGTTTGTACAAATTAGTGTTAGTCAGATATTTTTCTTTTATTTAGTTTTAGTCCTGCGTCAAATGTCCTTTTCAGTTTTTATCATATCAACCAAATCCTGTTTGTCTTTTTGTAAAGTTTTATTTGACTAAAAGTCTGTGCATTTAAGCTTTAATTTAGTCAATGAAAACTGTTTACATTTGAGTCTTTTTTTAATTATCGGTTTCTATTCTCGCCAAAATATCACCTTGTCTCTTTCTCCCAAGCCCCGTTGTTGTCGTTGATAACGTTAAGTGAGCAAGCCAGTTACTCTGAGTCCTCCTGAACATGCTCAGTGTGCTCTGCCACTGTAGTCCTCATATGGCTCACAAAGAACAGGAAACAGAACTATAACTATAGTTTTCGTTAACAAAATGAACACGTATTAAACAAAGGAGAGACAACAGATTGGTACATTTGGACAAAGCCAGGTGAGCTGCTAAGCCAGCTGGGCCCGCTGGCTCCAGCTGCATGTTTAACGCACATGAAAGCAATTCTGATCCTCTCCTCAGACTCTCAAGGAATATGTCTAAATATTTCCTTAAAGGTGAATATAAATCAATAATCATAATTTCCTCACATTTGCAGCTTCTTTTCTCATTTGCGACTCGTATTACTTGGGCCTTTGAGCCTTTTTGAAAAACAAAAAAATGCACAGTCCAGCTCTTTCTTGTTTTTACTTTCTTGTGTCTACTTCCCTGGGAAAATGTTTCGGGGTCTCAGAACAAAAGAGTTGTTGATCGGCAATTCACCTCAGGCTCTATACCAAGCACACCAGAGCATTTCCCCCCCCCCGCCATCTTTCTCCTTCCTAAACTACCATAGAACGAGCTTCAACATCAGAAACCCAAGGCCCCAGAAAGTTTTTGTGTAAGGGGCGGTGGGTGCAATTTGTCCTTGTCATGGCACAGTGAGCGGGGCTCAAAGGAACGAGGGCATCGAGAGCCCCGGAGCCAATTGTGAGTATTTTCAGTGGGCCGGTCTTCTGGGTCAGTGGCCGTTTCACCGAGAGCTTTTCCAGGTGAACAGCCAGCAGTGAGTGACTCTTCATGGGAAAACACACACTGTCTCCCAGCCAGCGTTTTACCAATGATACCTTTAGGCCAGCCACTGTATACCACACACACACACACACACACACACACGCGCACAATGGCAGTGATCTAATGAAATCCATGCACAGCTCATACGAAAGCTTGCCTGTCACAGTTGCATGCACACTTACATGATAATGATCTGCACATGAAACCAGACGCTCACATATAATGAAAAAGACCTTAAGCAAGCTATGATATTTATCATCATTTATTTAAAGTATGTGAGAAATGTACTATACACACACACACACACACACACACAAAATCACACACAAATCCATCCACACGTACACCTCTGCACCCGTCCACATCTACACCTTCACTCATCGTTTTTTTAAATCACCCTGTATGGAGGTTATTGGAAGCTGCCATCTGCTCCCTCTTTCTCCCTTTCCTTCCTTGTTTCTCCTCTTTCTGGCTAATAAAATCTCCAGCACTCTGATATACAGCCAAGCCTCCTGGACATTTTTATGGGCTCCTTGGTTCCCCCGTTTCTTTCTCCTCCTTCCATTGCTCCATCCGTCCTTCCTTAAAAAACGAACGACGCAACACCCCTTCTCTCATGCAACCCCAGAAAGCGTAATTTCTCTCTCTCACGACCGTTTTCTTTAATTGGCGCATTTTACGTCCGGCAATTTTATTTGGTTTGCTTTGGGAAGCAACACGACTGAATGGTTTTCCTGTTGAAGGCAATGAGACGCCCGACCGCGGATACCAGTCCAGTCACCAGCATGTGGTTTTTCAGTTTCATTGAAACAAGTGAGCAGCATGGTCAGCTGTTCGTGTCCCCTCACTAAAACTGACCGGAACTATATGTTGAGATATGACCCTTCTGGCATTCTCCACATTTTCAGTCTATCATTTTCATTTTTTCTTTTAACTTTGTGATCTTCTCATAGTTTTGTAATTGAAATAAGTGGATTCAAAATCCGACGGTTCATTAAATCCAGTGGCATCCAGTCCCGTACAGCAGAGCGTTGCTAATGATCAACAGTGTCTCTTTCTTTCTTGTCACCGCTCCAGTAGCAGTAGTTACCATGAGAACAATTTAAAAACACAACACAGAGCTATACATTGTATCAAGGATACTTGTTATTGATTGCTAAAATGAGCACTTTTGAAAGTTAATTTAGTTCAGCCTGTCTTTGTTCTCCATTCCCCTCTGCTCTCAGCTCATGGAAAACACATTTCGTGATCACAGAGAAGCAAAGCTTTTAACGTCGAGATGACAAAATATATATTTCAAGATCGCAAAAGAAACAAACTAGGAGAAATAATAACATGCATGTGTTCTATCTGATTATCTCCAACTCTCTCGGGGCATAGACGGTGTTGTACAGAGTCATTTTTCAACATCAATTTATAAATAAATTCAAAAATGATTGTCATTTGTTATTCACGTTGAAGGTAAAGTTTGTGCGATAGAGTGTAGAGATGTGAGGCTGCAGCCAGAGACAATGTTGCTTCAAGTCCCATACTGAGATAGGTCACTGAGGTCCATTTTAACTGTCACAATCTTAATTATAACACCTCATCCCTGGTGCTATGAATGGTCAATGGAGGTCATCGGTCCAATGTGTGGTCTCAGTCGTCACACTGGCAGCCAAGGTCTATTCACATCCATCCAACCATGACCTGCTTCCACCTCGCTCTGTCTTTACTCAAGACCCCCGAAAACATGTCAAACTAAACACTTTTACTACTCTGGTATGTTTCAACCGGCTGTTGCAGCGGTTTGATGTGGGATTTGTCAGAAGTAGTATTTTAGCACACAAAAACCAAACCAAGCCCAATGTTATCCAACCTGCTCCAGTCTCTCCGTCCAGTCGGTGAATGTAGGTTCAAATATGATCCAAAAAACGTAGATGTGCATGTGCAGAATCGAGCACAGAGGGGTTTATTTTGATGATTTTCAGTGTGCGTATTGGCGGTTTCACAGCACATTACAGTTTAGGGGGTTTTGTCACACTAACTTTGCATTGCAGATGTGGTGGTGCTGCCCCAAAAGCACCACATAATACACTATGAAACCTACATTGCAAGACTATGACGATTCAAATTTCAAGTGTGTAAGTGTCCCATTATGTGTGTGTAATATGAGTGTCAGTAAGTGTTGTGAAGTTGCAGCCTGAGTTAAAGGAGTGAGTGACGGTTGCCCATGTCTTTTAGCAGATTGTGAGTCCTATTGTAAACCAGTGAAGGGCAACCTGAAGATCAACATGAAAAAATACTGCAAAAAGGATTATGGTAAGAGAGGAGGATTAAATATCAACCATAATTAATAAATGTGCTGTGTTTGGAGTATTGGCCTGACTGTGTTTTCATGAATGTGTCCTCAGCGGTGCAAGTGAACGTGCTGGACATGGAGACTGTTGGGGACTGGGCGAAGTTCTCGGTTAATTTGGTGTCTGTGTACAAGAGCCGCGGCGAGCCCTTGAAGCGAGGCGACAACATCCTGTGGGTGCACATGAAGGACCTGGCCTGCAAATGTCCCAAGATCCAGATGAGCAAGCGATTCTTGGTGATGGGCGGCAGCGACGGCGGAACGGGCACAGGGACGGGTCCGGGGGTTGGTCCTGGCGGTGGAGCCACCAGTCCAGGGGCGGAGCACGTGGGCCTAATGGCTGATAAGAACAGCCTGGTGATCCAGTGGAGGGACGTTTGGACGAGACGCCTGAGGAAGTTCCAGCGCAAAGAGAAGAAGGGGAAGTGCAGCAAAGCGTGATTGGAAAGCGGCGTTCCTCCCCACCGCTCCCTCCATCGCCCACCTTCATGAACCCTTTACCCCACCATCTCCCTCTCCTCCCCCTGTCGTCCCCCATCACGGGAACACTGCACATTAGAAAGACTGCATGTACCCTACCTGTTTTAAGGACCACGTTTTGTGTATATTGTATAATTATTTTCCTTTTTTTATTTTTCAAGGTGTGTCTTTGTTATGTCAGTTGTCTTTTTTTTGTCTAATTGGTTTGCCTTAAAAAGGGACCATTAAAAAGGGTATGAAGTGTAGACAAAAGCAGACGCCATTCCCTCCCTCGATGACGACGGCAGAAATGTCCACTCGTCCCCTGACTACGACCCCCTAACCCTCGGCCTCCTCTTACCGTCAACACTGACTGTCTTCTGCCACTTTGTTTGACATTTACCACACTTCACACACTTCTCTGAGGATTTTATTCAACAGTGTTTGTCACTGACGGATTTCAGTAACAAGACAAGCTGCACATCCTCAGCTTGTCCTCCTCACGTTTCATTGTTGAAACGACTTGGATCAGCAATTCAATCAACTTTTGCTGTTAAAATGTTCCTAAAAAAATGGGGCCTACTTGCTTTAGGTCTCAGCAGTAACTTCTACGGACTGTACCTATGAAACTCTTGTCCCGTGAGGAACCAAGGGCTCCCTTTGCCGGGACATTTTCCACAGCAAACCTCAGTCTCAACACCACTGCTGTTGCCATCAGACAGCCCTCACAGAACAAACTGCGCTGGTGTAAGCTCTTATATCTGCAAGTGTTTGATGCCACTGCTCATAGTAGAGTTTATATTCTTTGTGTGGCTACTTTTATCTCATCCATCCATATCCCAGCCCTGTCCTTATTTGAGATATATCTTTTTGTTTCATTTTAGGCAGAACAAACCCTGTTAGCATGTGTGAGTCACATTCCAGGCCCCCGGGACTGTGCCTCTTCACCACTAGTCCCTCTCATGAGTGATTCATAAAGTCATGCATCACCATCATGACTCATTGCTTGTCACTTTTTCTGGAAGAAAGATTAAATGGTGTGGACAAATGGCTGGAATTTCAGAACAATACCAATATTTCCAAGGAGACCTTTTTGCTTTATGGATAATGTCTTCCCCGAGGCGATGTCCTTCCAGATGTTGCTGTGTGGCCAGTCTCATTTGTTTGTATTTAAATGTCTGAACACTTTTCGGATGCGTCCAGTGACTGGCAGACTTTTGTTTGTCGAAATAAGAGATTGAAACAAGAGTTCCTTTTCATGCAGTAAAAAGAAAACAAAGTGGGATAAACAACATAATCGTGTTTTTCTCTAGTGTATTTTGACAAAATGAATGAGCCTGGAACGTTTTTAGTGCTCACTGATTGTATTATGACATGAGAGGATCATATTTCATTCCTCATGTGCTTTGTTATGTTTGTGGTTTTTGCTGGTCCATCAAAAACCTTACAGTGAGCAGTGAAGAACTAAACTAAAATGAACATTGAGATCCAAAGGAAAACTTCCCAAGTTATCTTCCCCCACTTGCCTACCCTGACACAGTCCCTGTCATCCTTTGCCAAATAAGCATAGTCCGTTTTTAAATTCAATTAAGAGACTATGGAATTCAGGACCAACAAAAACCACAGAGAGAGCCGTCTGGTTGCTCTCAAGCTTTTTATCTGCCTCTTGCTGTTATTTCATTTTGTAAAGCACATTACAATGTATTTAAATAGAGTACAAGATAAACACACAGATTCAAGGGGCACGTCAAGCTAGCGCAGCGGTGAGTGTGCGGACAGGCATGTCATGCTAGCGAGTGGTTACGCTCCTCTGGCTGCGGCGGTATGTTTGGTTTGTCATCCTTCCAAAAGTGTCTCTCCTCTGCTCTCTTCTCTGTGTCAGCCACCACCCTCCCCAAACTCCCTTTTTAACCCATTTTGCATGTTGTGTATTCGGTGTCTTAGATAAGTGACGGCACAGAACGAGGCTGCCAAAGCTCCTCAGTGGTGTACTGTACTGCACTGTAGCTCTTGTTTTCACGTCTTCCGGGAATGTACGTCAAACTGTGAAGAACAACACTTGCACAGGTGTATGGTCTGATTGTAAGTGTTTATGAAATAATGTCACCAAGCTTAAGAATGTGGACACCATGACAGTTGATGCCATTATAAACTCTGAAGGATGTTGTGGATATTCATGCTTATCTGTCTGTCTCATTGTGATATTTTGATTTTTTAATCCGAAAAAGAAAAAAGACATAACCAATGTGAGATATCATCGTGTTTTCTGGTGTGAGACAAAAGAGCAAAGGTGGTCAAAAAGAGGATGGCGCCATGCCCAGGACCCAATTCCCACCGTTGGAATTTAGCAAAAATGCAGAACCAAACAGTCAATTATTTGTGTGTTGGCTGTCCGCGGCGGCCCGTCAGACAGGTGGTGTTACAGTAGCACCAGTCTCCTCGTCGCGGTATGCGAGTACGGTGTGACACTTTATGATTGATGGTCAACGTACGTGCCAGTGAGGCCTCTTTGGTGCTGAACTCCTTAAGCGACCAACACGCATTCGGAGGAATTGTGGTGTCCTTAAATCTGGACTTTCTCCCGCGTAGAATCGCACAAAAAAAGAAATCCTCCTTTCCATGGCTCTCCTTTTCTCAAGTGCCCACCCTGATTGTTGGGATAAAGATGAGAGGTAAGAGTGGCCAGATGTTGTTTGGGGGGTGGAAGCATAGTCTTGTGAAAGCTATTTAGTGAGCCTCATAGGGAGAGCCGTCCTGTTGTTTTACGTTAACAAGCCCAGCAGATTGGCAGTGGATCTGAGGCCATAACTGCTTTGCTTTGTTTCCCCCCCCCCCTTCACAGCATTTATAGCATTCACAGGTGTGTGTATATGTGAGTTTGTGTGTGTGTGTGTGTGTGTGTGTGTGTGTCTAATTAACCTTACCCATGTAAACAAGTGACGCGCACATGAAACGAAGGTGCAGAGCGGTGAGAGAGCTCTCATTTGAAGTCGAAACCTTTTTGGGGGCACACAGCTTCTCAGTTTTGCCACTTTTTAATGTTTGTATTGACGAGTGTGAACAGCCTATGATGAAGAGTTTTCACCTACTTTTCCCATTTCTTCCCTGGTTCACTTCCATCTTGTTCAATAAGTCTTGACACATTTTTTTGATGTTGTAAATATGTACCGAACGGCCTCTGCCGATCATGTTGTCTTTTGTGAAGCGTCACTTGGCCTTGGATGACTCACGTGTATGGATGTACAAACCAGATGATGTTATATGGATGTGGAAACCAGAAACATATGCTTTTGTGATCACGGCCAGAAGATATGGTTCAGATATTACACAGAATGTATTCCTTTTTTTTCGGTTTTATGTTTGTTTCCAGATAACCGCCCAATTGTAAATGACTTTGAGGAGAATGGAGTGCAAATGTGACGCGGGCTGATCGGACGCTCTCCGTTTCCCATGAGAGGCACAGACACAACAACCCACCACTCTCGGTCACATTCATTTCCTGGGAATAATGGTTCACTCACGCAGAAATTGTCAACCTACCTTTTCTTGGTGAACTGGTGATTCTTCCCTCAGTTCAGTCCTGCTCTTCACTTCTGTTTTATCAAAGTCTTCCTTGTACATTTTTCCTCTGAGGCAATGAACCACTGACTTTTTAATCTAAATGATAAAAAATAAATTATTAGTTAATGAGCTGTGTGTTGTGCTGATCATCTGTCTCTTTAATTACAGTCATTAGCCTGAGCTGCGTAAATGATGTCAAATTGATATGCGTTTGTGTGTGTTTCCCACTGGAAAGTATGCTCGCATACAGTGGGCACTGCACTGGTGTGTTTCCACTCACACCGGGGTCTGAAGGGGGAGACGACTGGGGAGAGCGGCTCCCCTCCTCTACGAACATAGCAAGAGCTAAAGCTCTGTAAATAAACAGGCAGGCACACACACACACACACACACACACACACACACACACACACACACACACACACACACTCACTTGAATGTGTACCTTACCTCTGAGGAAACCCAACTCCAGAGTCAGATCCAAAGCAGGAAACTCCTTACTCTCTTTCTCTCCCCCACTCTCTCACCTACAGTCTCCTCTCTCCTGGTCTCCCCGCCCTCTAACCAAACAGGCCAGCTCCATCCATCCTCCTGAAGGTAAATTACAGGAAAGCGACCATTTATCATCACTCTCCCCAGGCGTGGCCATCGAGGCTTTGAGAATAGCGGTAGCTGAGATGGTCTGGACACACACACACACCAAAACCATGACACATGTCTCTGCATCAAGCACATCCATCCAGGACATCCTGGCCTGCGGTCAGCTTGCTTGCCTTTCTATCTTCCTTTGTCTCCGTCGTTCACTCAGTGTGTGTTAGAACTGCACCTTTTCTGCTTATTTTGCCACAAACTGAACTTTTGAACTGGTCTTTCCATCCCCAAAGTCTCTCAAGCCAGTAGGCCACCTTCCTATCCCTTAAATGTATAAAAAGGATGTGTAAGACAGCGTACTGTTTCGGTTGTGAGTATGCCTCTGCACTAGTATATCAAAATCAACAACGAGATTTTAAACCAAGTTTAAAAATAATAGAATTGAACGGTATCCCTTCCAATGTTATGCCCTGCACCACGTTTGTTATTCATTGTTCTGCTTGTGTTTCCTGAAGTTGCAATGCATTGTGCATATTACACCTTGATAAATGTACATTTGCACACTGTATAAAGAGTTGAGGGACTTTCTCAGTTATAGCTATAATGAAATGGATAAAGACAGGGTCATAGTGATTATTGTCACTTACCTACACTGTGTAGAATGATAACTCAGAGATGAGATCTTCAAGTGTGTTTGGGGAAACCACTTGCGGAGCAAACTGGAGCTCTAGGGAGTGACTGGTCTGAGAGAGAGAGAGAGAGAGAGAGAGAGAGAGAGAGAGAGAGAGAGAGATGCTGCTTAGAGCGCTGGAAAAGAGCAAAGAGGATCTGGCCAAATACTGTCCGTTCTTCCCCCTCCCTATCCTAATATACACTCGCACACACATCCATCCCCACAAACACACACCACCCAGCGGTAGACGAGGGGGGCTTACCAATTGTGCTTTCATAAGCTGCCAAAGCGGCTTCATTGGCTTTAAATGGAGCCTCATTACCACTGTGCTTCAAAGCTCAACAACGGCATTTTCCAGCATGGGGTCTGTTTCCTAAATCTCCCTAATGCTTTACTTTTTGCCACATTCACGACTTTCCATTCTAATGATCTCTATGACTTATTTCCCCCCTTTTTTTTAATTTCCCCCCAATCTCGGTGCCCTTGGAGACAGCGAAAGCATGTGTGAATATCTGAATGTATCTGTGAACACTCATGTAGGCTTGTCTGGGAGTGTGTGTGTGTGTGGGGGGGGTCACCAAGCACTAACCCCCACTGAAAACCGCAAAAGAAATGTGGCGAGAAATCTGTGTGGACCAAGATCATAAATATTCAGTGGTGAAGGTCCGATCTCTTTCTCTCGCTCTCTGCTGCATGTCTTTTCTCTGAGTGAAACCAGCTGTCGACTGAAGAGACACCACTCCCTCTGGATCTGACAACATGCGTGACAATGACCACACCGCCGCTCGCACATCTGTCACCCTTCAATCTCTCCATCACTCCATTTTCCATTTCAATTCAAAAAGAGCACATTTCATATGCCTCCAAAAGGGAAATGTCTTCTTCTCACTTAACTCTTAAATGGGCCAATCGCATCCATGATACTCGTGGACAGTTTTCCACACACAGAAGCACACTGTCGAGGATTGTTAGGGACTGCTGTCGCACAAAACTGGGATTCAGGGTTCCTTTGTTGGCCTTTTTTATTGGAGAAACAAACTTTATTGGGCCAGTGAGTGATTGAAAATGAGTGAGGAATAGGGGGTAATTTAAAACCAGTGTGGTCCCTGATAGGAGCATTGTGCAGCACAAGCCTGCTCCTAATCCGCCCCTCAGCTTTGTGTTTGATTGGGTACTGTTGAAAGTGGGGATGAGTCTGCCTCTTCAAAGCCTGTAACATAAGAGGAATGTGTGTGTATGTGTGTGTGTGTGTGTGTGTGTGCTGCCCATGTATTAAGGTGATCACAAAAAGCGGATTGTGTGCAGATGGACAAATAGAAATTACACTGGTACATTTTGTGTAAGCTCTTTGTGAGTCGCCTCACTTATTACGGCACATTTTAATAGCTTTGCTTCAAGAATTACAATCCATGGCTTTAGGGCTGAGTAATTATCAAGCTTTTTACTTCAATGTGAGCACGAACACTTTTAATGATGTATAATAAAACACTTTCAATATGCTGCAGTGTTGTGTTTGGCCCGAGAACGCTCTATCGCTTCGTGGTGGGCTACTTCGGGATCAAGGCTGGCTCAGGCATTTGGCTTTGGGATGAAAGTTGGATACAAAAATCAGAGAGCATCGTGGCTTTGATTTTGCCATGGTTTTATGAGAGTGGAATGTCAAAAAGATAATTCTCATCGTCGCACTCTTTAAAAGTTGGACTGCGTGACAGATGGAGAGGACTTTGCGCCCACTGGGTTAGATCCATTGTAAAGGGTCAATTAATCATCTTTACAGGATGTACGCTCCATCAAACCAGATTAACTCAAATATAAAAATGAGAAAAATACTCACAGAGCAGCGCATGTGATGAGTCCCACATTCTGTCAGAGAAATGTATTCTGAATTAATAGATTTCAGAGAGCGTTATTCATTCGTATATTACAAGTGATGACAGACTGATCGGTAGAAATGTGGCATTCGAGGAGTATCCGTGCTGAATTGGCTTTGAGTCCCATCAGCCATCTCAGCCAAACACTTGATTAAATAGGCATAACTCAGTGGTGAACTAGGGGGCAAGCTGTGTTTGAAATAAATCTGACTCATTTTTTGGAATGCATATACACGGTTTCTTTGTAAATGGACAGAGAGTAACACGTTTTGTTACAGAGACTATAGAGCAAGGGAGGAATGTCTTAAAGCGTTTTCCAAAAGACTCTGGTTCGTGGACCTCATTTCAATTCAGATAAGACCCGGGTTCACTTTTCCAATAAAATGATAGTCCTTTTTAGACTGAAATTAGCTTTAAATTTGTCTTCTTCTCTCTCTCTCCATCTTTCCATGCTCTGGACTCTTCCATTTCTCGCTAATAAAAAAACTAGATTTAGTACGAATGCTCCTCTTTCCTCTAGGCTCAGCCCCTCTCAGCTCTACACCCAAGGCTATACTGTACCGTACTGCGTTAGGCCCATCCACTTCAGGCCCCATCTGTTGGCATTTAGCACCAGCTTCCCCGCCTCTGCACTGATCTCCGGTCTACATTAACTGCCCTAATTTGTCTGCCAAAGCCCACTCTGATTGCTACCATGTGATGTTATGTGAAAGGTGAGGGATGCCTACTTATCTGTGAAGACGGACAGAGAGTAAGAGAAAAGGGGGAGGGTTCAAAACAAGAGAGGGCAAGCCGGGTCAGGAGGAAAAAAAGGTTGAGAGAGGAAAGGAAAGTGATTAGAGAATGACATGGACAATAGAGACCGCATGACAGGATGGGAAGAATGGACAGCGTGAATGTGTAGAAAGTGATCCATGTGGTTTTGATGGTTTTGTGAAGACAGGGGCCTTTCCCTTGAGACAAAACAAAGACAGTGATGAGTCCGGACTGAGATGTCATCAGGCTCCACAGTCCACCAGGACTTTTTTCAGTCACGCTTCGAAGTCTGCAGGCTAACACAACCCACCCACCCCCCTCAGAAGTTTGTATTCTAAGACATTTTTCTCTTCCTCTGTGTCCACTTCTTACAAAAAAGACCTGGAAGCTTTTTCCAGCGGGAATTGGGATCTTTAAGTTTGTGACAATCAGACAAGTGGAGAACTGGCGCAAAGAAGAGCCTCAGCTCATGCTGTCCTCCATCACATCTACTTCATTTGGTAATGAAACTCCCATTGCTGTAACTGTAAGTGGGTTTCTTGTGTGTGTATGGGCTACTGTTCAAGTACTATTGGCTACTTTGCTACATTTCTTTTGTATAATTATTTTTATTTAATTTCATGCTTTTCTGCCCAATCATTTTTGCTCACAATCTAATTCCAACAAAAATATATAATACCTTCATGTATAAGATACTATTTGGTATGCTATCCAAGGATGTGTCATTAAAACATTAATACATTAATATACACAAGACACAAGTACACTTCACTACATTTTAATCCGTTACAGAGTTAAAACAAAAGTCACATGAAAAAGTCCCGATAAACTGTGTGAGAATGAAATAGGGTGTTCAGACAATCTTCAAAGATCCAACAAGTTCTTCATTTGACTTAAATTTTATAACTCTTACCAGAGTTAAATTAAGCTATGGCTAGTCAACGTCTTCTCCCCATGTCACATAGCCAACAAAACATCTACATCTGACCCCAGATCGACATCAGCAGGCGTGTGACAGACCTCCCCCTACTATCACAGCCTCAGCCCAGCTGTGGCGTGACTTGACAGCAGGATGTGGTTCTGCCAGGCGGACTCTAGCCAGAGACTCATCACAGCCAATGACGGCTCCCGGACCATTATTATTCCACCATGTCCGCCATGGATATTTGCACTTAAATATGTTGATGTAGTGTTAAAAAATAATCAGAGAGCAAGCAGAGGACTTGATCCATGGTGCTCTTTCTGTTGCTTTTTGAAAGTCTTCACATTCAATCACTCACTGGCCCAGTAAAGTCTTGTCATTTACAGACTTGGTAACTTTTAAAAAAACAGTGTCAAACTGTGCAGCTGTATCTTACAAAATGAGTGCACCGTGACTCTCCAGAGCAGCATCGCAGAAGTGGCATCAATCCGACCCAAATACTTCCTCTCATTAACACAAATCATGTTCACTTACAGACACATTAATTCAAGCTCCAAATGATCGATTAAGG